ATATATATCATGTTTTAGTTTGGGTTGCCATTTGTTGGGCAAACGTTATAATTGTTTTGGAAACGTCCCATTTACAGCCGTTATGCTGTCAAAATTGACTTGCAATATTTTTTAAACTATATATAGGATGAGTATTCAACTGGTATCAGCCAAAGATACGGCGATGATCCCTCAACCTATCCATTAGTTGATAAAGAGTTGTGGGAKCAAGCGGTTGGGGGAAGCAAGAAAGGCCGTTTATTTGGGTTTGGATACAACCAAGATCCCAATTGTGTCTTGACCGGGGACTTTCCGGAAGTTGGTTCATTGTCTTCAGATAAGCACGTATGTGTCTYTTTTCTTTTGATGATGTTTATCGACTTAGCTTATAATTCATATTAAAYATTATAACGTTTTATTTATTTTATAGGAAATTCAAACCTTAAAGACCTAACTTAGAGACTTACAGAAACAAAGTCAGCGCCAACGGATGGCGGAGGAGGAGCGACGTTTGGCGGAGGAGGAGCGATGGCGGGCGGCGGAGGAGCGACAGCGGGCGGCGGCGGAGGAGCTACAGCGGGCGGCGGAGGAGGAGCGACGTTTGGCGGAGGAGGAGCGATGGCGGGCGGCGGAGGAGCGACAGCGGGCGGCGGAGGAGGAGCGACGTTTGGTGGAGGAAGAGCGATGGCGGGCGGCGGAGGAGCGACGACGACAGAGGGAGGAGGAACAGGATAGACGACTTCAAGATATGGCTGCTTTGTTTACACAGCTCAGTCAATCTCAACATTTCCCCCCGCCACCATAATGAATATTGTCTTTTGCCTTTAAACAATTTAGTTTTGTTTATAACAATTTAGTTTTTGTTTGGTTGAAATAATTGTAGTTTCACTTTAATGGATGATATTAAGTTCGATTTCACCTTTTTATTTTCAGTTTTAATATTGTACAGATTTGCAGTTTTTAAATACAGGTTTTAAATATTAATTTTAAAATAAATCTAAAATATTATTATATATATATATATATATATATATATTTCTGGCGGACCAAATCCGCCGGTATTTTTTAAAAAAATAATTATTATTTTTAAAATATTAATTCTTTAAAGAAAATATTTAATATATATTATTCCGGTGGATTTATCCGCCAGTATTTTTTTTAAAAATAATTCTTTTTTTAAATATTAATTTTTTAAAGAAAATATTTAATATATATATATTATTCATCCGCCGGTATTTAAAAAAAATTAATTCTTTTTTAAAATATTATTTTCTTTTCCAAAAATATTTCCGGTGAGACAAGTTTCCGGCGGATTTCCGGCGAGAAATTCCGCCGGAAACGTGGAAAATCCGCCGGAAAAAAAATCACCGGCGCCCCTTTTTCCGGCGGCCAAATCCGCCGGAAGCGGCCAAATCCGCCGGAAATTCCTTTTTCCGGCGGATTTGGCCGCCGGGAAAAGTGGGTTTTTTGGTAGTGTTTAATTTTGCATTATAATTTATATTTTTTTAGCATTTGGTTGGTTTTGATTACAAACATTGTTATAGATTTCAAAAAATGTCATCCAAGATAAGACAATCCTATGAGTCAAACCCTCATGAATTGACACAAATGCATCATATCCATCTTTCTTATACAACACAATTTGTTTAAATATTTCAACCTCTCACCAATGTGAGATAACTAAAACTCAACCATAATTCAGTATTTGAGAATACTCGATTCTCATGATGTCACCTCAATATCACAAGGTTTTCCTTCCTTTTATATACAACGATATTGATTGATTTTATATAATAAGATTTATTTTGTAAAAAATAGGGTTATCCAAATAAGATAACCTTATGAGTCAAAGCCTCATTAGTTGACACAATAAATCCCATCATTATTTATTATACATATCTTCTTATTCCAATATTTCAATATCTCACAAATATTGAATATCTCAAACTCAACCATAATTCACCAACACCTCAATACTAAATTCTCATGATGCCACCTCATTCTCTCTTGATTATTCCTTTAATTGGCACCGTACGTGGTGACAAAATTTGTTTCTTTAAAATCATGTAACAAAATTAAGATGAAATGTGATCCGCTAATTTACTTATAATGAAAATGCAAAGTAGAATAATTAAAATATTTCGTTTAGAGTGTGGGCCAAAAAACCAAACCCATGCACTCGCATGGTTCCACTTTATCATATTCTCACCAATTTAGATAACCAAATTCAATACCAATAAAATAATTATTAATACTCAAATCTCACAATACCATATAATCACCTTAGTTCTTATTATATTATATTGATGATATTTGATATTGAGATATATTGATATATTAATGGTATATATAAATTAATTTTTGTATGGACTAACTTTTTAAGAGGGTTGACCAAAATAAACCAACTCCATGACTTCAAAGAGTCAGTTAAAATGAACCAATAATATGAGTTAGAGAATCAATTAAAGGGAGTCAACCATATGAGTTGTCACAAAAGCATCTCAATCTCTTTTTATATACATATTAATTGTCAATTTTTTATCTCTTCATCAATGTGGATAAACAAAATTCAACCACAAATTAAGGAATTAATATTACTCAATTATTTGGGTGTAACATCAATATTGTGGTTTTTACTTCTATATTTTAATTTGTTTCCAAATATGTTTTGCATGATACTTTAATTATATGTTTTGCACTATAATTTTACTATTTGGTTGGTTTTCATTCCAACTATGTTTATAGATTTCAAAGCATTCATCACTCATTTATATATCCATCATATTATTGCAAACCATCATCTCTCCTCCAATGGGAATGTTGAAACTCAACCTTATTTCAAGACGATTGATATTTTCTTAAATGAATAATTCGTTTTCAATTTTGTGTTTGCTTGATATTTTAACTGTGTTTTGCACAATAATTTATTTTCAACTTCGTGTTTTGCATGATATTTTAACTGTATTTTGCAATAAAATTTTATAAATTTCATATCTTCCATCACTTTTTTATATATCTATTATCTTTTTCCAAACTATCATTTTTCCACTAATGTATGAGATTATGAAAGTCAATCTTCTTTCAAAATTTGAGTAATATAAAAATCTCATGCTTCCAAATCATATCATTCTTGGTTTCACTTTTAATGTATATATATATATATATATATAGATTTATATTGAACCTAATGATTAAGTTTTATATAAAAAGGTAACTTTTCAAATGTTGGAGGACAACATAACTCATATAGTCAAATCAATCTTTTTGTTTTCAATATTTCACTTTAATTCTAAATTTGGAGCCAAGTGTAATATATATAGCCGGCCAACATTGTTAACTTTCTAGCTTTCTTAACTTTTTAATATATTTACACAACTACAGCTTCCAACACTTTTTTTAATTTTTTTTATCAATGTGGTATAACTCAAAATCAATCATATTTCAAGATTTGAGGAATACTTAAGCTTCATTTTACCTAGTCATAATCCTTGGTTTCTCATTTTGCCAAGTCATAAATTTTGGGTGGAAATCATTTTAAAATAAATGAAAAGAAAAACTAATATAAAATAAACTTTATCATTAAACTTGGGTTTTAGCAATTTACCCAAATACCATTTCATAATTTTTATGATCACCAATCAACCATTCATATACACATCTTCATTTTTCATCTTGTCATCAACGGGGATAACCTAAACAACATTAATTTTCAATCTTCTCACGAAAGCAAACCTTTAAAAAAATCAAAATTAAGAAATATTAGATAAATAGTAATGGAGGTCTCTCACTGATCCACCTTTTAACTTTGCAATATATATATATATATATATATATATATATATATATATTGATGATTGATGATCATTTGTATTGAAACTAATGATTAAGCTCTATTAAAAAACTTAACTATTTACTCTAAATTTAGAGGAGAAACATGACTCATATAGTCAAATAACTTTTTAATTTCCAGCATTTCAATTTAATCCAAAGCTTGGAGGGAAGCATAACAACATTGTTAACTTTCTAGCATCCTTAAGCTTATAATATATATCTATAATACCTTATAAATCAAATTTGAAAAAAGTCTTAAAAACAACTTTAAATGCATGAGGTACAACCTTTTGATGCACAAAGTCCTAAAAACAACTTTTAGTGCACTTTGTACTACTAATTTATGCACTATGTTATCACAAGTTAACAAGCACACTTTACAACATGGTAAAGCATGCACCCTTCCTCAAATTTCTTACTACAAATTTAGCTTCAATCAAGGTGACTTTTCAAGTTTTAAGGGAAATATTGATGCTCTCAAGGTGTTATTCCAGCTCTGTAACAAATGATTTTCCTATGAACATGTTGATTATAAAGAAGCTAACAAACTGATGTCACTATTAGTATACGTGTTGACCATCTTATATTTCACCTCAAAATAGGTATTCAGTGTTGGGTACAAAGATCTGAAGTCTAAACTACCAATGAAGCCTGAAACTAGCAGCCTGCATCAGTGGATGAGCAAAGTAGGCTCCTAGAGTTAATCCAGTAATGGTTAGATATGGTAACCTTATGAACTCCTTGTAATAATCTTTCGGCAATTTTTGACGACCGTCAAGGATGGCTGCAAACGGAAGGATGCTTGTTCGACTCTTTACAACCTCAAAGGCTTCACCGTATCTAATCGCCAACCTCCTATCTCCATTCCAAGCACCAAACAGATGGTGCCCGATTAGCCCAACTGATGCTGCTACGGCTACAGAGTTACCAATCCAGATTGTGTGAGCCACACACCACATCACCTGTCCAACCAACTGAAACGTTGACACAAAAATACATGGTTAGGATATATGTGGAACCCCTTCTGAATCTCTCTCTAAAAAAGCCCTTATAGAGAGTTTGGAGGTTGCTGTATGTATGTATATATATATATATATATACTATATTATAAAGCATTTGACAAAAACTCTTAAAAACCACTTTTTATGTGTAAAGTACTGTTTATTAATGCATATTACTTAAAACTCAAGATTGCAAGTAGATTGTGCGTAAGTACTCAAGATTTTGCACAACAAGGGGACCATGAAGAGGTGGCACGTCCCGGTGTATGGCTCCCATAGGTCTCCCTGCCTCTAGAACGGAGGTGAAAGAGTGTGTCGAGTCCCTAGATGTAGGAGACAGTAGACCCCATCTCTGATACCATGTTAGGATATGTGAAACCCCTTTGACGAGTGTGTCAACTCCTTACATGTAGTAGACACCGGCTCTGATACCATGTTAGGAATTAGGATATGTGGAACCCCTATGAATCTCTATCTAAAAGAGCCCTTATAAAAAGGGGAGGATCCTACATATTACAGATATGATGGTCCGTGTCTAGCTGATTTGGGACTCCAACACACACATCAATAAAATATTTGGCTATAGAACATTTTGAAGTAACAAGTACCTGTGGATGCCTGGTGATTCTCATGATTCCACTTTCCCAGAGGTGCATCTTAGGCTTATCGACAGCTGCTACCTCTAACAAATTAAAGGTTGATGGATAGAGAAAGAAGAAGGAAACGAAATTAGTGACCCACAGTAGATGATGCAACACCGGAACATTCTGTAGCTGCCATAACTGAGCACCATCATATCTATGGTTGATGAAATACACCTAAATCACAACTCTTCAATGTCATTAACACATTAAAACAGTCACGTGGAAAACATTGATGATAAATAACACATGACAACCGCAATCAACCAACTTTCAGGCTAATGACATAATCCTAAAATGAGTTGAAATTTCAGAATTCCGTAAAGCATAAGTACCTTCAGATTGCTTATAGCTATGGAAATGTAATGCTTTAAATTTCACTCCTTCCATCTAAATATAAATGCAACAATTTTCCTTTTTGGTTGTTACAAAATAAATGCAACATTTCCCTTGAGTACGTTTCAATCAAAATATTTTGTTGCCTGTTAGTAATCATTATAAAACATAGGTTACATTGATGCTGATCTACAACAAAATTCCTCTATTTTGTCCTTACTGAGAGGCATTTTAGTTATTTAACTAATAATCAAACACTTCTATTAAACTATGTGTAAAGTCATGTTGCATTTCTTTTCCAAAGGATGAAGTATTTATACATGGGATTCAGAAAATAGTTTAATCATACCTGAATTGGTGTAATTGACGTGATTACAAGAAATGCTTGATGACATATGATAAAGGCCATGAAGGCAGGATTCAACTACTTATAAGTGCTGGTATTAGCACCATTTTAGTTGATTCTTGCACTCCATAACACAGAAGAGCATACAAAAAAGGGGTGAAATTTATCAAGTGAACTAGTGTGGTGCCCTTATTTATAAAGCAGAGCCTATCTATAACAATGAGAGCTCACAATTGTACTAACGGCCAGCGGAAGAGACGTTCCAGCAAATAACACGCGAAAAGCACGCTCTCCAATCAGTTTTTCGCCTGGGTCTCTAAGACTAGCCAAGCCACTATGTACAACGGCAAAAATAAGCGTAAGCAGGAACATTGCAACCTGTGAGCCGAAGTCAAAAGAAGTCTTAGGACACGTAAAAAACCAAGGTAAACAAATGAACAACATTCAACCACGAATCTTTAAATCAGTATTGGACCTATGATAGCTTAGCACTCTAATGTGCATAATGGAAGTTTAAACTAAAAATATGAATAGATTGCCTACAATTATTAGACGTTAGACATATAATTGGCAGGAGATGGTATATACTTTATAATCAAGCATTAGCAATTTTTACAGTGGAGATCCTTCCTAGATTCTTCACATGGACCAATCTCAATTGGTATATTAAAAATCCTAAATTCTAACTTCTAAGTGACTCAGAGAGACAAGTACACAAAAGGGAACTTTACTATTGACTGTAAGGATTGTATATGTCCTAACCTAATGTTGTCCTTAAAAAAGAAGTTAGAACAAAACCTAATGCATTTTGTCTTGCCATCCTAAGTAATGCCATCAACCCTAGTGCTATAGCAACTTGCAACTTGCAACTTGCAGCGTTATTTATGTTTTTATTAAGAAAAGTTGAATGTAGAGGTGCATATTTATGCCAACATTATCTTTCTTGTAAGCATTCGCTCTACTCTTTAGGGGAGAGGTCAAGTCTATCTACATCCCACCCACCCCCTTGACCCACTTCCAGATGGTATATACCGCGCTTGTTGGTTTGGTTTTTATTATCTTTCTTGTAACTGTGCAGGGTACAGTCGAGGTAAATTCAGGATCAGCCTTTCTATTAGAAATCTTACAGCAGTGAAGTTCCTTTATCAAATAATTCACCAAAAAAGGAAACCAGATGGGATATGAAATGAGACCATACCATTCACATGGTCAACTGCTAGGACAAGTCACAACTTAAAAATGAAAAACAACATATTGGTACCCACAAGAGCCTTATGGCTGTTCATGAGAAGCCTAAGAGACATGAGATGTCCAGAAGTAGGGGTCTGTTGGTTGTAAACACCATTGTTTTTCCTCTAAATGCCCTCTTCTCAAAAGCCTAGTACAACATGTTGAAATTTGAAGGAGACTTGGGAGGCTAAACATGAAGTCTTCTAGAGGCTATCAAACAATTTCCACGAGCACAAATGCAAACATATTATTGAGAACACTAAATATAACCCATCATGTATGTAAAAGATACATCAAAGGCACCCATGTAAATAATATAGCAAATTGACCCGAGTGGCAGTGTCCACTTAACAGCAAGTATAATTGCCGAGTGAACTTTGAGTTGAGGCAGAAGGGCATAAGGTCCTCTAGAAAACCCAGTCACAGATTAAGAAGGTTATGCATATGGGATTGCACGGAAGAGGCTAAAAGGATGTGCAGCTTTCTAAGCAACAGGAGCATACGACTTCCGGATTATTACCCCCACAAACAAAAATCTTGCAAGCGAACTGTTTGAAGACATTGGATCATATGTAGACACTAAGATCCCTTGGAGAAAGCAACACCTAAAGCATAACAGTTGATTGCCCTACCATGTTTCTGTGAATGCCCAAAGATTCTACAAATTTCAAACTTAATCATTGTGCATTATCTTTAGAAGACAATCTCAGGCAATAAGATAGCTAAGACACCAGATTAAAAGAGTTTGTACTGTATCTCATATGTGACTTAAATAAGTTGCATTATTCAATTCCAAACTGGGTTTGGATTTCAATCAACAGCTATCACATGTCAACCATTTATCATTAATACGCACAAATTCAATGAAATTCTTTATCCGATTTCAATTAACTAGATGTGGAGGCCTAAAAACTGTCAAATTTGCTTGTATAAGAAATTCATACACCAACAGGTATAATATCTAAACTCGATCGTGTATCAGTTCAACAAAAATAAAGATACGAAAACTAACCTCGGGGCTGTCAGAAACGCTCGAAACAGAATCGATGAAAACTTTACCAAATCCAGTAGAATTGTCAAGCCAAGCAACATCAAGAATGAAAAGCACAACCCCCAAAACCCCAGTGAAGTAAATCCAAGAAGTAATTTTTTGCTTCGCTAAGTCGAAATTTGCTGAATCCTCCCCCACCAGAACATCCTTGGAAACACTCGTATCGGATTCTCCGACAACAAATACCCTGCGGCTTTTCCTCAAACAGTTTGAAGGCAGTAATTGGGTGTCCTTCAAAAAACCTATATTAGAATAACTGTTAATGGGTGTTACGGTACGATTGAGTTTGGGATTGCAGAAGATGAACTTGGGACGTCCGGGAAACTGGGAAATGCTAGAGAAGGAATTAGAAAGGAGAATTGAGCTGGCCATTTGTCTGCGTTTTCACTTTTCGGGTGTGTGCTATTGTATTTGTAAGTGTTCTATATCCAAGAAAAAGGGTATCTTGACGGAGTTTGTCCTGTTGGTTCGGTTTTTGGCCATTTTGGAGCGAAGTGAAATGTGACAAGGTGACGGCCAATCTTAACGATATTATTCTTTTTGGGAAATTGATTTAAATAAACATTTTTTAATATTTAAGTCGGTCTTTAAATCATTTCCCACATTTAAGTTGGTGTGTAGACCATTTACTTTTTGGGTTGTGCTTTTCATTCTTGAAGATACGGTTTGCAATGGTGATGGTAGGGTCCGTAATATTATCAGATCCGCAATTGCAACGGCCAGGTCTGTAATTACGACAGAAAACTGGTTGAATTTGAATTTTTTATCTTTTAGGTAATATTGCGGACCTGAATATTATGAAACTAATGACATTTTGATAAATCCGATAAAGAAATGGTTAGAATACCAATTTAAATGTGAAAAATAGTCATGGAATCAAGTATCGAGTATTTATATACAAAAGTATTTGGTTATTGAGGAAAAATCAATATATCTAATTCTAGGTCTTTTTAAAATTGAGTTAATTGTGAAAAATATCACGAGACAAAAAAGATTATAAATTTTATTTTTAGACGTTTTGTCGTATATAGGTTTATATGTATTTGACATAAAACTTGATGGATTTGAACATGTACAAAGCATGGGTTTTCTAGGTATGGATCTAGGCTTAGGCCTTTTCAACCTCGTTATCAGTAAGTAAAAAAAAAAAAGGCTCAACTATGTCAGGCCCGATTTAGGCTTTCAATCTAAAAAGTCTTAGTCCTGAGCCTCCAAGCTCGTTATCGATGTGCAAAAAAAAATTGGGCTTTTTTGGCTCAGACCAAGCTTAAGGGTTGAAAAAGAGCATGGCCATGTTTTTTTTTTCAAACTTAGCGGCTTTTTCAAGCTAGACCTAAGTTAAAGGTGATCATTTGCGAGCCTGGGCCGGGCTGGCCCTAACTTGTTTTTTTGTCTAACGGACCTAATATTATAAACTCAAACCCTGTTTTTCGTGTTTGGCAATTTGCCATTGTCTGCCCTATAAATGGATTGGGCTTACCCACGAGTTAAAAGGCCTAAAATTAACTCTTATAAATCTATAAACTTGATCACTAGCAATTAAATAACAAATGTGGAACCAAAAAGTAAAGGAAAAACACCGTTGAAATTAAAATTTTAAGCAACCAAATTGACCATCGATAGTGTAACTATATATCGATACAAATAAGGAGTTTTTGCCAAAAAAATAAAAATAAGGAAATCAATGAGAATATGAGATACCAACGATAAGTAGCGACGGGAAAATTAGAGAGTTTGAAACACCCAACTTGTAATCGAGAGTTTGGAATGAACGAGAAGCAACAATGAATCATCAATCATACTATCATAGGGTAATCGACGTCGCGACGAGATGAACAGGGGAGTTTGAATTTTGCAATGAGCGAGGAGCAACAATGAAATGAATGAACCATACGGCAATCAGAGTAAACAAATAACCACTTAGACTTTCGGGTTCTCAAGAATAATCAAAGAGCCTAAGCTCTCATCCTATAACTTTAATAATTTAATTTTAAAATATATTAGTATAATTTTAATTAATGATTAAAAAATATTAATTATAAATATAAAACGAGCCGGGCATGCATGTCCATATTTATTTTTGCATTTCCTATGTCCGCCCATTAATTTTAACGAATAAACCCGGACTCGTCCATTTTCTCGATAATGGTTGTCCAAGCCCGTATTTCTAGCGGGCTGAATGGGTCGAGTCTAACGGGTCGTCCTAACCATGAACAACTCTAACCTAAGCCCACATATGCCCCTAAACTTTGACGAGATTGGGCTTTCAGATTTGGTCCCGACTGAAAAACCATGCCTAGACCAAACCCCAGGTTTGGATTTTTTTTGTGCATCTCTAACTCTGAACATTATTTATTAATGCACCTTAGATTTGGCATCAAACTCTTATCGTTTTGTATATGGCGTTATCTTTTAGTTGTAGGATGTTGATAAACAAATGGGCCTTTTTTTCAAATTGGAAGTCATAACTTATTTGGACAACCTCTAGTACTTATGTGTAGACACTTGTATAAACACAAAAACCAAAACATTTTAGAAGCGTTATCGTATTGTTTTGTCGGATGTTATTATATAATTTCTGAAATTGAAATATTAGTTCAAGATTTTGATCGTGGAGATGGTAATATTCTTACCTTTGTATAAAAGGGTCAAGTTCAAGTCCCTTTATGGTCAAGTTCGTTGTTATTAGCTTAGATTTTGATTTTTTTTTATATCTCTGGTGTTGTTAAAAATATATGTAGACAGAACTCGAATATGAGTATCTTCTATGCAGGGACAAAGAACTAACCAGTAGATCTGTATTAATATTGAAAAAAAAATTTAGATATTTTGTTTATAGTTAAATTGTGTCACCATTTGAAAAATAATTTGGGTCCACCTGTGCATCAAACACGACATAAATCTCAAGATTTTATATGGGTGTTGCGATCATTTATAGTTGGGTATGAAGGCTCGAAAAGAGGAAAGGGGAGAGGGTGGCCGATTTTTTTTTAGTTGGAATTTGTTGTAGAAGCTAGAAAGATAAGATCTGTGATCCTAAACAATCTGACTGGTAACAAATTTGCTAATATTGAGAGAGTGAGAGAAAAAGGTACTCTTTCAGATTCGGAGAACTAAGATAGTTCTTCAGATGTTAAAGCCGGTTTTGCCTAAAAAAAAACTATTACATAGAAGTTATTTCAAAACGGGTGAGTAACAATGAATGACAAAGGGTGACCTTTTATAGCCATCATTGCATTAATTGTCATTGTCCAACTTTAAAGTGTGTTTTCATCTGAGTTAATGATCCATGCATGTTTGTACTCTTCATTTCAGCCTTTGTGGTTGATGTCACACTTGTTATCGTATCCCATCATTTTATATGTCTAGGGAACAGTAAAGGAAGTATATCACGAATAAAATAGTGTTAAGAATTTACTTTGGCTGATATGTTGTGCATGTTCCTGTACCAGGATGAGTGTTGGAAAATTTGGTGAGCCAAACTTGTTGGACAAGTTTGCACTCCAAATTCTAACTTGCCAGTAGTAATATTTGTCAAACTAGTATTTGACTTTATCTTGTATTGATCTTCTTTTTGGATAATGACAAACTAATTCGCTTTAGTGATGGTCTTGACCTCATTTCAACTAGTCTTCAATTTTGTTGAAGGTTTTTCGTTCTTGAATCAATACAGATGGTTAAAATACTTTCACAAGTAAAAATCCTATCTTTTTCTATTACGAAATATAAGTTATAGATGGGATTTCCAGCTATAAAATATTTATGATGTTGATTCATTAAATTCTAATATGACTTAGTATAAAATGTGGGTTCTTGAAACTCAAGATTAAATGATCAAGAAGTATGTCGATCGAATTATCCTAATTGGAATATCCAAAACAAAAGATTTTGATCTCACAATCTATGTAAGTTCAGGATCAGATGAATGTTCAACATCCAAAACCTTAAGCTTAGGGGCTGTTTGGTAGTTGTTGAATGGTTTGGTGCAGAATGATTAAGTGGTCAGAATGATTAAGTGGCTTTCATGATATAATGCAACATAAAATATAATTGTTTGATAATTGTTTACAATGATATTAGCGTACTTAATGGTTAAGGGAGACACATGATACAAAATCATTTAGAGGGTTTTGGAACCATTTAGATGCATACTTTTTCTTGCCAAACAAGATTCACCTCTTAATGAAACTATTCATAAATAAACAAACAACCCCTTAGGTTCAGATGTTAACCTTTTGGTGTTATATCTGATGGATGTGGTTGATTGGATATTCTTATTGTAAGACAAGTGTATAAGAATTTTTAAGTGTTTGATTGGATGCTAAATGTATTATTTACAAATCTGATGGTTGAGACCAACACCAAAAGCATGCATATAAACATAATATCCAAGACACACATTTCAGTGATAGGGTAGACTCGATTCCATCGGATGTGACAGAACACAAAAGTAAGTCATATCTCTATGTTAATGAGCCACACTATGGATCAATGGTCATCAAATTCAACCACCCACAACCTATACGTTGCATTAGGACCCCCGATGATCCTAGACATACCCGTTCACTAGAATTACATCATATGGTTAATAGCCAATGTTCGACTCCATTAGCCTGCACTACAATGCCCCCGATGACCCACTATCTATTTCTAGCAACAACACTGGAATAACCATCCCATTTTAAATCAACAAATATACTCTTATACCTATGGTTCAATTGCGTTACAATATAAATTACATGACTCCAAATTGAATGACCAAAGCACTCAAAACATGTAATTTCCCAAATAAATATGCACTAAATGCAAAACACGTCTAAAGCTCAACATTGAGCAAATTTAAACCAGTCAAATATCCCCAAAACTCACTTAAGTTAAAATAAACCAGTAAACTCCATAACTTACTTGAGTGTACCAAAAGTCAATATAAACCAATAGAATATCAATACCCAACATTTATACAACTTACGTCCCAAAGTTTAGATATCTTTATTATTAACTCAAAGGTTGGGCAAAATCTCAAAAATGCATCTAAAGAGTTTAATATATCTCATAACCCAAAGTACCACAAAATCCAACACAACTCAATTAACGCAACAAACTCACTTAGACTGGACCCTTAAGTATTAAGTCTCAAAATACACCATGACTTCAAAGGAACATTTCGTAATTGTTGACACCAAAAATGCGTCCAACAACTCAATCCTATGTATTATCAAAAGATTTTGTAAAATCAATATACCAAAAGTGCATTAACATAAAATTACCCCCATATGAGTAATAATTTATCAAAATCCACACACTCTGATTTATTATCAAAATATCCAAAAAAAATCCAAAGATATGCATTTTATAAGATTTTACAAAACCAAATCTGCAAAAATGTATTTTTATCAAGTAACCAATAGCATTTGATAAATCTTAAGGAAAACACTTTAAAGAATTTAAAATATACATTTTTGGCATGTACAAGTTTTCATAAAACAACTTAGGGGTCGTTTACCAAACACTTACTCGATAAACATTTATCAGTAAAATTTAATACTATCATTGACTTACCAGGTAAGATTTTAGTTCACCAAAACGGTATCGTATGGAACAATTTACCCGGTAAGCGCTTACCATGGTAAGAGTCGTCGCCCTTTCTTACCGGGTAAGACTATTGTTCCTTGTCTCGTTCTTACCGAATAAGATTCTTGGTCCTTACCATATACATTAGTAATATAATGTGACTTGATATTCACTTACCCGAATAAACGTTTAGTAAATGGCCCCTTAAACAAGTTTTGTTGGCGTTCGAGATCGATTTAAACTTGAGAATTATTTAACTCGTTTTTGAATATCAGTTAAGTATTTTTTTCAACATATTATTTAAAGAAAAGGTGAAAAAATACGAATAGGAGAAAAATCAATTAGGTCAAGCGTATATTCTTTCTTTCTTACATAAAAGTACCATCAGACACCATAATGGGTCCTCTTTTCACCTCACGCGCCTCTACACGCGGTTTCCACGCGTCGGTCATCAAAGCCCAAAGCCCCTAGTGGCGCGTATACTACACTTCCAATATGGGCGCGTAGACATCTGTTCGTATCAAATCGTAACCGCCTAATTTTGTTTTCATGTGTAGCGTAGGACGTAAAGGAGGTCGAGAGAGCTCACGCCTTCCGCCTCAACACCAACACCACCCTCTGTCAAAACGACGACGTACCAGACCACCCTTTCCGCCCTCCTCCTGCCACGAAGATTTCATGACAGAGAGAGAGAGAGAAAGAGAGACCGACCTCTGTGACTACTTCTAGAGAGAGAAACCTCACACATAATCAGTTTCTAGAGAGAGAGAGAGCTGTATGTGTTTTTCTGTGTATAAAAAGCACAATGTACGGAAAGCTATGGCGTTAAAGCTTAAAGGTACAGCTGCTCTTGATTAGTTTTTAGCTCACCATCTCCATAGGTAGAAATATATCTATCTATATATATAAATTATGTATCTATATGTTTGAATCCGTGTATATGCGTTTGTTTGTGGTTGTCGAGAGAGAAATTCTGATAAGCAGCTAGCTTATAGAAGAAGCACGTCTTTTACTGGTACATTCCTTTAAATTTCATTTAGTTTTTTAAGATCTTAAACATCGGGATTTGTTCATCTGTTTGTTGCGTTAATGTTTGTTGAGTTCCAGTGGTCCTTAACCCAAATGGAACAGTAGTTTTTGCATTTATTCTTGTGGCATATAGGCTTTCATTTTATTTAAAAAATAGGTTGGAATGGTAAATTTTTCAGCATCCACCAAAGGAATTTGGGGTTATTAACCAAAGGTTCTGTGTCATTAGCTTTAATCCCTTTTAGGTTACTTGAATTGCAGATATAGACTCCCCGTTTGCTTAACTTTTTCCAGTTGTGGGTTTTCAGCCGTAATTAATCAACTTTATGAATCGTAATGTTTTATATATTGTAGATGAACTATTGTTTTTGTGATAATACAAAATTCATCAATATAATATGTAAGAATACAAATTGTTAGAAGAAAATGAAAAAGCATGTTACATGACAGCTTTTGTTCAAATCCTGCTTTGATACAAAGCATGGTGTTTTTCAGTTTTTTCTCTTCATCTTTTTGCCATTTTAGATAGAAGGATGGTTTGTTAATAATAAAATTCAATGGTTTTGGTGAAGTTAATATAAAAGTGCTTAATCATTATAGACCTACTCTTTTGTGATAATGTGACTTCTAATGATTTGTTACTTGTTTGTTTATAGTGGATAATGTAGAAATAGGGGTGTAAATGATGCGAGTTGAGCTTGAGTATTAATATATTCGACTCGTAGCCTGTTCTCAAGCTCGAACTCGACTCGGAAACTCGTGAGTAGTTAAAAACTAAACTCGACTCGAACTTGATTGCAATTTTTAAACTCGAACTCTAACTCGTTTGAAGCTCGAACTAGCTCAAACTCCTATTTGAATCAAGTTCATCCGTCGAAATTTATGAAATTTTAGGGTTCTTTTATAAATTATAAAACTTAAAGGTATTATCTTAAATTTTAAAAAATTAAAGAGATGCACCTCAACTTCATCATCAAAAAGACAAAGTTACAAAATTCATTTATCTCCCTCTCTTTTTATACAACTTTTTATCCTTCTTTTACCATCTTTCTTCCAACGTAGTACGACAACTTCACCAACACTTTTATAGTTTTTATCCTTCTTAATTATAATTTTAATAAAAAAATTATTGATATAGTTTTTATAGTTAAAAGTGTACTATATTGTTCAAATATCTAAAAATATAAGACATTTTTATTACGTTATATTATACATATTATATTATAAAATTGGTTATATTTTTAAAATTAATTATATATAAAAATTCAAGAATCGCAACGAGCTTTTGGAGTCGAGGATTGGGTAGTTCAGCCTGACTCGTTAATATGTCGAGTCGAGTTCGAGTTTGAACCGAACTATTCGAGTCGAGTATTGACTCGGGTATTAACCAAGTTTTGACATAATTGATCTGGAATAACTACTGAGTTTTCTTGTATCGTTTATATCTGTACGTAGAAAGGAAATGGGCATGTATATGCATGTGTATGAATCTTTCTTGAGCACACTGCCTTGGTTTTGTTGGTTTGTTGGCAGCTTTTCCAAGTTTCCTTTTTCATTACTCAAGTAAAAGTGTCAGTTTTTATTCATTTCTAAGTACCTACTTTGAAATTTTGATCTATCGGTCGGTTGAGGTTTTGAATCTTATGAGCTTTTAACCAAAGGTTCAGTGGTCCAGCAATACAATACTCAGAGTTATTATAGAGTCCACCCTCGTAAAGGTCGTTCAAACCTTTACAAAGTTGAAAAGTGCCCATGAGTATTTGGTTAATGTCTAACCCAGTTTCATAGGAGGAGGTCAAAGATTCAAATTTCAACAAAAAAGAAAAATGTGCACGAGTATTCGGTTACTGTGGAGTACATCCACATAAGAGGTCAAACGTTCAAACCTCAACAAAAATGAAAAGTAAGCATTAATATTTGGTTATTGTAGAGCCCAACCTCATAGGAGGTCAAGGGTTCGAACGTCAACAAAAATGAAAAGTATGCATGGGTATTTTGCCATATATTATATACTTAAAAGAAACTAACTTGCAAATAAAAACAAGGCTTAGTTGAGTTTAGAGGTCTTCCGTTGCAGATTCTTAATGATTCTCAATGGTCGTTTGCTTGCAACGACAAAACAACTAACAACATTTCAAGGAGTTGATATTTTATGTGACATGTTTCATTCTTGCCTTCCACGCATGTTCTTATCCTTGTATACGTGCTATTCTACTGTACTAATTCTTGTAGTAACATACCAACATATCTGACATGTTTTACAAAGATGCCTAATGCCCATTGATGGGGTACTTCAAAATATTGTAATACGGTTTTGCCCATTAAGACTATGAAAGAATGGTGATTTTCTTATTGTATCTCGTTTGGTGAAACTGATATTGTTTTCCTTTCCCCTGCTTTTGCACAGATCTTCTTGACTTGTGGAGCAATAGATGTTCAGATGTCTGGATTAATGGCAGCATTGTGCCTGGCTTGAAAGGTAATTTTTGTGAAATTTGTTAGTTATAATGTGGGTTATAGCATCATGGGTTAACCCTTCACTTTTTTTTTTGAATTGATCTTCCCTTCCTTGCAGGGTTTGAGTTCCAAGGGTGAAGATTGGTCTTGAAAGAAGAGAATAACCTCCTGATCATCTGTTTTCGTGTACAATGGCAAAGTCAAATTCAAGATTGAAAGCCTTCCATGCCCTTGTCCTAGTATTGCTGTGTTTTGTACACTTGTGCTTCTCCAACGAAACGGCATCACTGATTGCCCTTAGAAAGTTGCTTCTCCAAAGAAAAGATGTTATATCCACCTGGTTTGATTCAAAGATACCGCCATGTAACTGGACTGGCATAAGATGCGAGGGTTCTGTTGTTCACCAAATATCTCTATCATGTACATTGTCACCGCCAACTCTTCCCTTCCCCAGGATTTTCAGAGAATTCAGATCTTTAAAGCATCTCAATATCAGCCGTTGTGGCTTTAATGGGCATATTTACTCGGATTTTTGGATTCTAGAGGACTTGGAGACACTAGACCTGAGTAATAACCGATTGTTAGGAGTGCTGCCCCCGTCACTTTCACGTCTGAAAAAACTCCGAGTTCTTGTGCTTGATAACAATGGCTTTTCAGGCAGGTTACCATCAACAATCGGGCAGCTCAGAAATCTGACTGAACTCTCGCTTAATTCAAATTCATTTTCAGGCAGGCTTCCATATGAACTTGGGAACCTAGTGAAGTTGAAATCTCTTGATCTCAGTCTAAATCTCTTCTCTGGAGATCTTCCTTCCAGCTTAGGTAATCTTACTAAGCTGACATACTTGGATGCTAGTCAAAATAAGTTTACAGGACCAATATTTCCAGAGATAGGAAATTTGAAGATGCTTAAGTCTCTTGATCTCGCGATGAACTCCCTCACTGGTTCTATACCAGAAGCAATCGGCGCTCTTACACATGTTCATCGTCTCCATCTACATTCTTGCAAGTTTACAGGGAACATCCCTGCTCAGATGTCGAACATGACTAGCTTAATTAGAGTGAACATTGGGCAAAACTATTTCGAGGGAGGATTGCCTTCAAACTTCGGTGCACTGACAAATCTTGTTTATTTTATCGCCACCAATGCAGGACTAAGTGGACCAATTCCTAGAACCCTGGGAAATTGCAAGAAGCTGAGGGCACTAGATCTTTCCATGAACACGATATCTGGCCCGTTACCTGATAGTCTTGCAATGCTTGAATCAATAAATTCCTTTTTCCTTCATTCAAACCACCTATCGGGCGCATTGCCAGAGTGGTTTTCCAAATGGAAAAGTGTAGAAAGCATAAATCTGTCGGATAACCTCTTTACTGGACGTCTACCATTGCTTAATATTCCATCCCTGACCTTTCTTGATCTCAGTGTCAACATGCTTTATGGTGTGTTGCCAGCTGAAATATGCCTAGGCAACGCATTGGGCTTACTGAAGTTATCTAATAATGACTTCAGTGGTACCATAACGAGCACTTTCAGGAATTGCTCGATCCTCACAGATCTGGTGTTATCTGGAAACAACCTCTTTGGTGAAATACCTGCTTATCTGGGAGATCTTCCACTGATCACATTGGAACTATCAAAGAACCGATTCTCTGGAACAATTCCTACTCAGCTTTGGGAGTCAAAAACACTAATGGAGATATACCTCAATAGTAACTTGCTTGAAGGTCATATTCCAGCAGCAATTGGAAAGGCTTCCACACTCCAGATGTTGCAAATGGATAATAACCTCTTTGAAGGAAATATTCCAAGTTCCATCGGTCAACTAAAAAATATGACCAATTTGTCACTGCATGGTAACAAGTTGGCCGGTAACATTCCATTGGAGCTTTTCGAATGCACAAAACTGGTTTCGTTGGACCTTGGTTCAAACGAGCTTACGGGTCCAATTCCAAAATCCATATCTCAGTTGGAATTGCTTGACAATCTTGTTCTGTCCAAAAACCTACTCTCTGGTCCTATACCAGAGGAGATCTGTACAGGATTTCAGAAGATCACTTTACCAGATTCCGAGTTTGTCCAGCACTATGGTATGCTTGATTTGTCCAACAATGAGCTTTCGGGGCCCATTCCCACTTCAATCAAGCAGTGCATCATTGTGACAGAGTTAATGCTGTCAAGAAACCAACTCGATGGGACCATTCCTCACGAGATATCTGAATTGTCCAACCTAACTTCCCTTGATCTGTCCTTCAATCTTTTTACAGGGCCAACTCTTCCTCGGTTCTTCTCCATGAGAAATCTTCAGGGTTTAATACTTTCACATAACCAGCTAAGTGGCACACTCCCTGATAATTTCGGTTCCATGATGCTGAGTTTAGTTAAGCTGGACCTATCAAGTAACTGTTTCACTGGTTCTTTGCCCCCATCTATATTCAGTATCAAGAGTCTAGAATACCTGGATGTTAGCATGAATTATTTTTCTGGACCACTCTCTTTTCGCCTCAGCAGCACAACCTCTCTTTTAGCCCTAAATGCCAGTAATAACCTTTTTTCTGGTGCTCTTGATGCTTCTATATCCAATCTGACTGCCCTTTCCATTTTTGATGTTCACAACAACACCATCAATGGTGATTTACCTTCTCTCTCCAACCTTGCTGCTTTAACATATCTCGACCTTTCCGGAAACGATTTCCAAGGTTATTTTCCATGCAGCATTTGTGACATAGAGGGCCTATCGTTTGTTGGTTTGTCGGGCAACAGGTTCAGTGGCCAGGTTCCTGAATCTTGCAATACACCAAACTCATGCTATCCATATCCTTCTCAGCACAGCTACACAGCAGCACATACGTTAACTCATGCTTCTGTTTTGGGCATTGCACTTGGTACCTCGTTTGTTTTTGTTGTGGTCTTGCTCATTGCCTTTTTGAGACAAAGGATGTTGAAACAGGAAGCCATAATTCTTGAGAGGGGAAAAGGAAAGAATTTCAAGGCAACCGAGACACATTCCGAGTATGGGCTCTTAAGGAAGAGACCTAAAGAACCACCAAGCATTAACATTGCAACATTTGAGCAATCTCTGTTAAGGTTGAATCCTCAGGATATATTATCTGCTACAGAAAATTTTAGTAAGACCTACATTATTGGCGATGGGGGTTTTGGCACGGTTTATAAAGCATTGCTGCCAGAAGGTCGGACTGTTGCTGTCAAAAGGCTCAACGGTGGCCGAATGCATGGTGAACGTGAATTCTTGGCTGAGATGGAAACTGTTGGGAAGGTGAAGCATGAGAACTTGGTGCCATTGATGGGATACTGTGTGTTTGCAGATGAGAGGTTCTTGATCTATGAGTATATGGCGAATGGCAGTCTTGACATGTGGTTGAGGAACCGGGCAGATGCGGTTGAAGCACTTGATTGGCCAACCCGTTTTAAAATTTGCCTTGGTTCTGCTACAGGGCTAGCATTTTTACATCATGGTTTTGTTCCCCACATCATCCACAGAGACATCAAATCAAGCAATATCTTGTTGGACAGCAAATTTGAGCCACGGGTCTCTGATTTTGGCCTTGCTCGGATAATCAGTGCATGTGAGAGCCATGTTAGTACGGTACTTGCAGGTACATTTGGATATATCCCTCCAGAATATGGGCAGAAAATGGTAGCAACCACAAAAGGGGATGTCTATAGCTTCGGAGTGGTGATGCTAGAGCTGGTGACAGGAAGAGAACCAACAGGGCAGGCTGATGTTGAGGGTGAGAATCTTGTTGGATGGGTGAGGTGGATGGTTGCAAATAGGAAGGAATCCGAGGTACTAGACCCTTGTTTCTATGGTTCATGGATGTGGAAGGATCAAATGCTAGGTGTTCTTGCCATTGCACAAGCATGCACAAATGACCAACCTAGGAAGCGGCCGACAATGCTCGATGTTGTCAAATCACTGAAGGAGCTTAAAACCGAAACTGGATTTGCAGCGCTTGATCATTCCAAGCAAATCGTCTAATCAGTGCAGGTTGGAAAGTTGATGTCCTTCTATCTATCTTAGTGTTTTATGTAGTTAATGTGGTTTAATCGGTATAATTGATTTGTTTAGATATCATCTTGACATAGCCTCAAAGTTTGTGAAATTTAAACAAAAACTGTTCATCATAATTCTTTTATTTGCAACTTCAATATGTCGCATGATCGTCCATACATTATAATTGCCAAGTTTGGACAATTATAAACCATTCATATACTATAATTGTCTAGGTGAGGCGAGCCTGAGCCTCAACCTTTCATGCTTTGATTGAGCTGAACTTTAAACCTGGTTTAAAATACTATTAGGGTCAACGTACTTTGGTTTTGACTAACTGTAAAGATCAAGAATCCTGAGTTTGGTTTAGAGATAGTGGGTTGAGAATTAAACTAGTTGATGAATTAGATGCAAAGGCAGAGGAAGCTAATCAGAAAAGGTTAAGGAAATAAAAGCTTTGAATGACAATTAGTTTGGTTAGTGGGCTCAAATAACTCATTCCTCAATTACCCCAGCAATCATCATTCAGTAGGTTGAGTTGTACAGCTTAACCTACCTACTAACCACACCCAACCCACCTCCATATCCCCTCTCTCTCTCTCTCTCTCTCTATATATATATATATATAAAGGGGTATATATGTATATATTACAGTTGTAGCATATACAATGATTATATATAGCTTGCTTACAAAGTCAAAGAGGGCCTCCGAATCTTGAATTAGAAAGCTCTTGTATCTGCTGCTAACAGAAGCCTCCTGAATCTACTATTTCTGGGAGATTGTTTCATTTTCATTGGCATCCAAGATTCTAATAAGCCATGAGAGATATTATGGAAAGGTTTCTGGTTCTTCCCTTTTCTATGGGATGTATGTCAAAGTCAAATGCAGCTGGTGCAGTTGAGTCAAGCCAATGCAAGGAACAAAAGCCTCAACCAAAACAGCTTGTAACAAGTATGATATACGTCTCTCTATCTCTCAAATTTTCATGTGTTTTTGTTGTATACTTAGACGGTGTTGGCATCATTTGCTTTTTAAAGGGATGCAAGAGGGAAAAAGCTCATCTGGAATGAAACTCAAGAATTCTTGGGGGCTTGTAGCCCTAAGGAGATCCAATATTTCAAGAGGATTTCGAAAACTAGTCTTGGAGACCTTGGAAAGTTTTTCTCGAATTTTGAGTAAGTACCATAACTTGGATCTCCTTCATTCATATACCAGCTCTAAACATTAGTGGTAAAGATTGAATGCTCATTATCATCCATTTAGATCTAATCAGTAATCATTGTCAACCTGCAAAGCAACAAATGCACATGATTATTGGCCTTTAGGTCCAGCTTCGAAAGCTCGTAAATACATGTTAGGATGTCGTACATGTAATGCAAGTCGGGGTCTTATCTTAATAACATTTCTGTTAGAGTTCCCAAACCAGTAAAATAGCATTTCTACCATGTGGTTGTAGATGCCATCAAAATATGTGTGTGCATAGACAATTTTTTTCTTGAAGTATATAATCCATAATTATAATTTGGATATCGTTACCCAACTACCTTTTAGTACAAAAAATTCTCTATTTCCAAAGGATGCCAAAAGAGAGCACCATATTGGTTGCAAGTATCCAGTCAAGTGGGTTTGTTATGGTTGGTTGGGGGGACGTTTAGGTTCACAAGATGGGACATTCAACCAAACCTTTCTTTGGTATTTAATTTATGGTGGCGTTTTCTCTTGAATATTGTATTTAATTTATGATGGTATCGTTTGTTTGTTTCAGGTTACAAAGACGTAGAGGAAATTGAGTTGGAATTGGAAATAGGACTTCCTACAGATGTAAAACATGTTACACACATAGGATACGATGGATCAATGACAAGAAATCCCGTAAAAAACAAAAACTGGGATAACATGGAAACACCTGAAATACATTCTTTTCCTTGTATTTCTATGAAACAATTTGAGCATGCCATGGCTGCCCAATCTCAGACTCCACCACCTCCTAACCATTCAACCAATGACAAAGATTATACCAGTTAATTATCGTAGGCTTCTGTTTCTTTTTCGTTTGGTTGCTTTTGTTGAGGGGTGTTTTATATTACATCTAATTTGTTTTGATTCTTGTAAAACACACCAATCAAGAATGTCCTGCTAATCCGGCCATTTCCGAACCTGTCTTTCTCATCCCATTCAATGGAGGACTTTTAAATTCTGTTTGAATATTAATTAGTAACACTCCATGCTAACACCATCAAAACAAAGAGGTTACCCGGACTTTAGAAAACGAACAATTTATTTAGGGATTGTTTGGTTGTTTTTTCTATTAAGTTGTATGTATGTATTAAAGCATTTATATATTGATTAAGCCAAACTTCTTGTTTGTTTTTGTGTGTGTATTGAATAAACAATTTGAATGACTACTTTGCTTTTCGATCTAAGTTAATATTGATTAAAATAAATATTTGATAAATGTAATAAAAAACAAAGTATATATGTTCCCTCGCTGATCTACGAGACAGAATGGTCAAAAATCTGGTCCTTCCGTTGTACAAAAATTAACACACACGACTTGTTCGTCATCTAAATCAAAATAATTAGAATTAAAATCTGTCCTATCTGATAAACTTTGGATCAAAACCATTAATTCCTCATAAAACAAATCATGAGGGAGAAGCAACGTATTAGTAGCCAAAAGACGTCAGCTTAGATTTCAAACCGTAAACCATCCAATGCAAAGTTCGCAAGAAACGAGATCTGAAACTGACCAAATCCTTCACTTGTACAAAAATTGACACTCACGACGTGTTCGTGACGTAAATCAGAATAATTAGAATCAAAATCTATCCTATCTGATAAAAATTAGGATCAAAATAAATCATGAGAGAGATGTAGACACCATAGCGAGCCAATAGCTGATTAAAAGCAGATCAATGGCTTTCTGAGGCGACTCTGTAAAACAATTCATGTGTGTTCCTCCGATTTCCAGAAGGAAGAGAGCTTTCCGAGAGGGTTATTGTCATAAGCCCCGAACATCTCTGGAGGAACATGTTTTTAGGGTTTGAAGATGTGTCTTCGGCCTTCTCTTATAGCAAATTCTATTGGGCCAATTACTCCCACACATCTAATTTTGGGCCAGGCCCAATTACTTGATGTTCAATGTTTTGTTATTTATAATTATATTATAGCTAATTACTCATTTGTGTTGGTGCAATCTTGGTAGGAAAAGTTGTAATGATCGAATTTTTTATTTTTTATTTTAATTTTAACCGGTTCAAACCATCATTTAGTGGAAGAGATTGTTTAAGTACAAAGAGTAAAATACGAAATCCCTCAACATAAATTTATACATAAATCATCACAAATATAATAAAATGTAAAAAGATAAGAAAGAGATATGTTAGACAATACTAGAAGGATACTTACGCAATGCAGTGAGATACATCTTGATTTTAATATTTTATTTTATTTTTTTATCTCAGTCAATGTTATAATATGATATTATGTGATTTTGAAAAAACGATAATGTTTTTATTTTTTAATAAAATATAAATTTGAATATATCATAAAAATTTGACAAAAATATATCGATATTAATATCAAATTAACTATTTAAAATTTCTCATTTTTTGTGTAATTTTTAATTCAATTTTTTATTATATTAAATTTAGGTTCAATAACGAAGTAATTTATATTTGGTTTAATAATATAATTTTTTCATAAAGATAATAATTAATTATTTTGTTAGAACTCGATAATTATCTTAATTATATTTTAGATTTTTTATATTTTAAAATGAGATGTTTATCCTCTATTTGATTATGTTTATCCGCAGTTAGTTACACGAATTCAAACATGAAGCTTTAATAAGTTGTACGTGTGTATAATTTACTTGTAATCTTGAAATTTTTTAAGTAATATACATCAACATACAGTACCTCATGCATAAAAAATGGTTTTTAAGAATTTTTGTCAAATATTTTATAATATAGTATAGATATACAAGGTTCATCCCAAACTTAGGGGCTTTTCCACTCCAAGATACTTCTTAAGGCACTTCACTATTGTTGTTCTTTATAGTAGAACAATACCGTCCAAATCAATCTTATAATAAAGATATGAAACACTAAGATGTTGTTTGTTTACCTCTTAATAATTCTATTAAGATACAGCCTCTGAATTTTAAGAGGTGAATCTTGTTTGACAAAAAAAATGTTTCTTAATGGTTCTATAACCTTCTGAATGGTTTTGTATCATGTGTGTTCCTTAACCATTCAGCTCCCTAATGTCATTATAAATAATTATCAAACAATTATATTTTATTTTGCACTATATTATGAGAGCCTCTTAATCATTCTGCACCAAACCGTTCAGCAACTACCAAACAGCCCCTAAACTTTTTGTAAAAAGGAGAACACGCATATATTTTACAAAGGAGAGTATCACCCAAATATATTGTAGGGAGATAAAACTCAAACCTCGTAATAATACGTAAATACTCAATGCTTTGTGTAGGGAAATGACGCTCATACCTCACACAATATTTAAACACTTAAAAAAAAAAGATGAACAACCATAATCCAAGGATTAGGAATTTGCACTAACTCACAAGTTACAATATGATGAACATCAAGTGAAGTTTTTGAGTGATATCACAAAATCTCTCTTTATAATCTCTCTGAAGGATATTGAAATCAAAGTATGAATATAGAGAGAATAATAGAGTTTAACTCTTGAAATCGCACCCAAAGTCGCATGAATCACATGTGTTTCGACCGTTTTGTTATTCTCTTATTTAGTTATTGTTCTTGTATTAATATATGATTTCATTTTGTTTACTAATCTAAAACCATAATCATAATGAATTAATCTTATCATCTTTCATATATATTTCATTGATAATTAATGAATCATGATAATTTTGTTCATAAATATCTCTATTGTTTCCTAATATAAGCATCTATTATGATTTGTGTGGTTTGTTAGAATTAGATGGATTGTAAATGAAATGCTGCTTATACATGTATGCATGTATGTATGTATATAGAGATAGAGAGGAAAGATCATGCGAAAAGTTAAATATTTTACGAGAAGACAAGAAGTTCCAATATCATATACAATTACACTAACTTATATGTGTTTAATCACATATGATTAAGTGTCTATGTGTTGTCAATGCAACATATGCTTTAATCATATATGACTAAGTTTGTGTATCATGTGTGTAATCATATATAATATTGAAACTTTTTGCATTCTTGCAAATGTTTAGTTTCTCATTTGAACACACACACACACACACACACATATGGGGCAAATCAAATACAAATCTTACAAATGTTAGAAACCATATAAACCAACCTCTAACCGTCCATCTAGTCTAATAAATATTTGATTTCATTTTGTTTCCTAATCTAAAGCCATGATCATAATGAATTAATCTTATCATCTTACATATATATTTCAATCATAATTGATGAATCACGATAATTGTCCAAATTATCTCTATGATTTTCTAATATAAGCATTGATTATGATTTGTATGGTTTGTTAGAATTAGATGGTTCGTAAATGAAACGTCTGCTATATATATATATATATATATATATATATATATATTCCCTTTCTTTTGCAAACTGCCTAATAATACAAACCTTACAAACTCATTTGAGTCGTCTTATCAACAATTATATTTAAAGTGGAAGTTACAAAGTGATGAAAAAACGGAAATAATCGAAAGGCAATATTAGAAAAAATGTCTATTATTTTTTGAAGATTATAATTACCTAATTACCCCCTCCCCCCCCCCCCCCCCCCCCCCAAAAAAAAAAAAAAACAAAATCATAGATGAAATAATGATTTTTATTTAAAGTTTATAGTGTTGTTTCTCGTGTCAGAACTTTGGTTGTTTCAAAATTTCAATTAAAGTTCGTAGTTGAATTCAGAAAGTAACACTACAACAAATTCGATTTTTTATGACGCCTAAAACGTAAAAATTTCTTAAAAAATACTTTATAGGATTTAAGTTTATAGAGCCAACAAAAACCGTCCTATCTGAAAGTGTTACGAGAAGTTTAGAGGATGTTTTTAGGAGTTTTAACAAAAAATTTAGGATGTTTTTAAAATAAAATGTCGTCTTAACTATTTTATATGACATTGTTTGAAAAAGTGTCATACAAAAAGATAAGTTTATTGGACGTAAAATACCTAATAGGACACTTTGTTTTACAAACATCCTAAAAAGCTTGTTAAAACACCTAAAAGTGTCATATAAATATATTGTAACGCTTTTAGAGAGAACGCTTTATAGTTTTGTCCTATAAACCTAAGTTTTATAAAATATTACATTAGAACGCTTAGGGGCCGTTTGTTTTTAATAAAAAAGCTCTTAATGTCCTCTTAAGTCTGAATCGGTCAGACATAAGAGGATTCAGTATGTTTTTTTTTCAATTAAGAGCTTAAAAGCTCTTATTAGGTCTGAAAATTTCAGTGGTTGCAAAACCTCTTATTACCTCTTATTTCAAATCGTCGCCTACCTACTCTGATCTCTTTGCGCTCGATTTCTATGGATCAACTCTTCTGTCTCGATCTCTCATCTCTCAACTCTGTCAACTGTCGATCCATATCAACTCTCGATCTCTCATCTTCAAACTTCATATTTCAGACGCAAAAAACAAACAGTGTGACTGATTCAGATTTCAGACTTCAGCACCACCTCTTAAAAACCAAAAGTGAATTCAGACTTCAGACTTCAGCACTTCTTAAAAACAAACGCCACCTTAGACAATCTACAACTACAAAACAAGGGACTTTCAACGACGGAAAATTCTGTAGGCAATCCATCGGTAAAAGTCTGTGGGAAGAAAAGTCGTGGGAAATGGAATCGCTGAGTGATTTATTTCACCGAAAGATTACCGGAAAATTTATATCTTCGACCGATTACCGGCGGATTTATATCTCCGACGGGTACCAACGGATTTATATCTCTGAAGAATTATCAACGGATTACCGACGACCTCAACTAACAATAGATTACCGACGACCAT